AGTTTGAAAACTTTAATTTAAAGGTAAAAAAAAAAAAAAAAAAAAAAAAAAAGCGACCCAAAACCAACCTCAAACCCCAAACCAAAATTAAAAAACCCACCAACCTCCACCCCTAATGAAAGAGCTCAGCACCTGATTTTACATGAAAACACTTTGATATTTCCATATCTCCCTTCTTCCTTTTTCTTGTCATTTGAAATCTATTTGCTGAACTGAAGATGAATTCACCAATAGCCAAGGTCAGCCTGAAACATGAGTGTATAACCCGTGTGCATTGGGCTCATGCTCATTTAAAATAACAACAATAACAATAATGGCTCAAGTCTATGCATGGCCTTGAGAGAGCCAAGAGAGGGAGACAAAGAGCCATTTGCACACCCCTATGTCCACTCGCATGGACTCTTAGAACCCCATCCCTGACATCACTGCAAAGCCCTTTCTGCAGACACCACCTATGTTCTGGGGAATTGCACAAGATTAAAAAAGAAACATTAAAATGAGCTTGTTCACAGGCGTTTGCATTTTAAACCTTGGTAAGTCCTGCTCAGTTACACAAACATATGTGCTGGCACAAACGAAAGGGATTTTGTGGTACCCCTTTGGTGGAAGGAGAGAAACAAAAGTGGAAAGTGAACGCTACAAAAGACTGTCATAAAACTACAATCTCTTTTTGGGAGGGCAGTGTTTCTATCAAGAAGACTCTGGCCCAAATCCTACTGACTGCAAGGCTGTCTGCCCCTACAACTTTACCAGCATCCGCTCATTCAGCAGCATGCAGAGGATTAGGACCTTAAAGATAATGGGTCAAATCATCAGTGGGTGTAAATCAGCACTGCTTCACCACTGTCAATAACGTTTCCTTGATTAACCTCAGCCCAGCTTCCAGTTCTAACATCTTTGTGGTGTTGCCATAGGAAAAGTTTGCAACATGTAATGATCTAGTACTTTCATAGCTTATTTCTATCTTGAGGGAATTTTCTTTTATCACTAGTTATAAGCAGATTGGATTCTTCTCTTGGCGTGTAGAAAGCCTGTGCTTTGGGCTCTGCAATCCACAGACCTGGAGACACAAGGCTTTTTGTTTTCAGCTGGGTATTCCAAAAACCTGGAAGATGGCTGAACATGTTAAGACACCTTTGATAGGAAGTTACGACCCACCCTAAACCAGAGCAGCCAAACCAAACAAACAAACAGCAGCTTGCTGGCATCTGTCAGACAAGAGCCACCAAGGCAAGCTTGAAGGACAGAAAAGTCACAGTGAGAAGCTTCAGCTGCCCACCTGCTGCTAGCAGGAAGCCTTTGCAAGGGATCGCAACCCTTGAACTCAGGGAATGCACGGTTGGAAGCAGGTAAGTTGCTGTACTGTTAAGAGCGCCAACACCTGCTTCAAATGCTAGCGACTGCCCATGGAGTTAGAGCCCCTTTTGCTTTCCTCACTCCAGCTCCCCGGTCAGCCCCTGGAGTCCTGCAGCAGATCAGTGGGTTAGCTCTCTAGACCTCCTCTTTTTCTTTACAAGGTCTGAGTCCAGCTCCAGTGATGGCCACAGGACTCCTCAGCTCTGGACTCAGAGAGCATTTTCTCATGTGTTTGCACAGATTCAAGATCTATACTCTCCAGAGGGCTGTAACCTTCCTGCCCTTGCAATTCTGATATGAGATTCAGGGATTTCTTAGAGCCACATATGAAAATCTCCAGACGCTCAGTGAGACAGGGGTTGCTTTTAGCTGCATGAAGCAGGACGATAACAGCAAACACAGCAAAGACAACGGTCCCTTACATGTTCATTTGCAATTAGGGCTTGCTTGCCCTGCAAGAAGCACTTGCTTTTATCTGCTGTCCCTTTCCCCACTGTCTTACAAAGAGGAATCTGCAGTTGTAGGCAGGCCTGGTCTTGACCTACACACTCCGAGACCTCAAACCACCTCATCCACAGTCCTTGCTGATATTTCTGTGAGTCAGCCCTGTGTTCTTAGACTTGCATACCACAGTGCTTTCAGTGCCAGTGTCACAAGCAGTAGAAATGCATGGGGCTTTGGGGCGGGATTTACACATTTGCCAGTGTAAATGAGGTCCCTTTTGTTTCTAAATGACAATGGAAAAAAATTTAAAAGCCAGAAAAAGCCTCAAGCAAATGGTGATTTAAAGAAACTCTATAATTAACTGAACTTCTATGAAATAGGAAGGCCTGGAAACCAGAAGTTTAATCTGCCATTCTATACCACAAGGGGAATTGGGAAGAACTTATGTGGTCTGTTTAATGGTAGCTTCTGACCTAGCAGTTTTTATCTCTTAGCAGTAGCTGCCTGGGACTCAGCAAGATGAGCAATTAAAAAACAGTAATTCAAGAAAGTAGGAGAATACCTGGTAACCCCAGGAGCGTCTTACCTGCCTGTTAAAGTCCAGCCCATTCTGTTCATTTCCTACAATGAAACAAACAGAAAAATATCTCAGTATTAATGACAGTCAGCATTGATGTAAACTTTCCAGGACTTAGAACACACATAACCAAAGACACACTGCTAGCCCAGCTCAGTTTACTGTAAGGGCAAGGAGAGGAGGAGAAATGTGGAGTCAATGCGAATGCAGCAATGGAAGTACGAAGGCAGCTTTTGCAACGTTTGGTGGTATCAGCCTTTGCTGAAGTACAACAGAAGGGCTTCTGCCTGGGAGACACCTGGCCAAGCAGCAGGGGTGGGGGAAAGCTCACTGACTGCAAGGGAGATTCCAGCAGAGGTGAGCTGGAGGACATTACAAATCTCCAGGGAAATCCAGGACCAAGGCACTGCACATAAAGTAAGAACTAACTGTGGAAGAGGTTAGCAAACAGGTGGCCGAGGCTGTTAACCAGGGATCTTCAGGAACCCGTGTGGCACTGAGTAATTACGGGATATCTAAAGGAACAGAGGGTGCCGTGGGGTTGTGCTCAAGAGGCGTCTCCTTGATTCCAAGAGAGATTGGCAGGCACAGGGGGAAAAAATCAGACAGGTTTCAGCCTGAAGGTACCGCACAGGCCCTCACTCATTCCCCTTTGATGATAAACATTCCCCCCCCCTCCATCACACCTGCCAAATTCATCAAGAACATCACAGAGGAAAGGTTGTACACTCCACAGATATGAATGCTTTAAGGGATTCCACGAAGCCTCTTTAGTTGCAAAGGCAACCCCAAGAAACCCCTTCCCTTCGTAATCCATTCCCTAAGTTATTCTCTTCCAGTCCAACTGAGTTTGTGATAAATAGTCTTAAATTGTTCATATCCCACTGGCACAAGCCCCCAGGGCCTCTTCCTCCTCCTGTTTTTTCCAGTATAACATTCCCCATAAAGCATAGCCCGTGCCCTGTGATCTGATCAAGCTTCAACAGATCATGTTTTTCAGCAGTTCATGTCTCTCTTGCAGAAAGTTGGAAAGCGGTTAAGAGAGGCTGTGCAGGCAGGAGTGCAAATTCAACTCTCCTGTTGACTTGCTTTCTTCAACTGAACAAGCCTCTACCCTAACCTAGCACGCAGTTTTTCAGCTTGCACCATACATATGATATTCCCAGGTGAATCAGCATGGTTCTTTGAGATCCTCAGGGGGAGTGTGCTTGGTACAATTATTCATAGATGGCAAAATATTTGAGAGTCAATGATAACAATTTCATGGCACTCTGTTCTCTGCTATCTGGAAACAGCTCTGGAGATTTAATCTGCAACACGTTAACAGCATTGACTGTGGAAACTGAGCTGCAGCGAATTCATAGTCTTCACTGTCAAACAATACCAGAGCACCATTTCACAGCAGAACAAGCTGTTGCCCTCCCCCACCCCGAAATCTCCTCTGCTTCTCACCGTCTGCAACTCAACCTAGATCCAGCTCTGCACCTTCTCCCCCAGCTTGTCGGCATTTCTGCTGTGCTAGAGCCTGCTCTCGCTTCCCATCTTCCTCCCGACCTGCTTCTCAAAGCTTTTTCTCTTCCCAATCTCAGGTCTTTATCTTCTTCCATGTAATTCCCTACTCTACTACAACCTCCAACTTGCCACGCGCTTCCGTGCTGCCATGCCTCTCGTTATAACCATCTGCTCCCTGACCACCTCTCTCCAGCTGCTCCTGCCTGAGGAATTTGTTCATTCATTGCGTTCCAGCTCTACGCCCCAAGAGGCAACAACTGCACATATAACGATGGGAATGCTGATAGTGTTAATAGATGATCACAATCAGTATCCACACACCTGAGCAGGACTTTGTGAGGATCTTCAAGGCCTGCAGTTTTTGAGTTTGAAACCCACGGGGGGTTGATGCAATCTAAAGGCAGTAGCTAAAGGGAAGAAAGGCAAGGAGGAGAGAAGGAGGAAATAAAGTTCCCAGTTGCTAAAATAGAACAGGAAGGAAAAGGTAATCTTCTGATTTGTCGGATACAAGAGTTTTGCTCACGTTCAAATGCAGCATGAGGCAAGATTCAAAGACCTTGAGGGAAATCCCTAGGTCCCAGTGACGATGGCTCTGAGTCACTATCATACACCCCAAAACCTGGAACTTGAGATGCACAGCTGGAACAGATTTTCACTCCATGTTGCTACCACCAGGCCCAAGTTCTCCAGCACATTCTTTCCTCCTCTTCCAAGCTTCCGATCTCTCACTTTTTCTTCCCTGCACAAGCACGTGCAGCCGACAGACTTCTACCTTTCCTTTTCCCTTCCTCTCCTACAAGGCCAGACGCAGCTTCCTCCAAGTCCTCTGTTATCTTCACGTCCCTCTGCAGATCAACAGGGGTGTTCGGGAGCACCTCAGCCAGGTATTTTGTGACAGCAGAGCATGCTACAAATGTGCATGGAGGTTGACATTAACTCAGTCCTAGCTTGGGCGTCTAAGCCTGAGATAACTGCCCCAGGCTGTCTTGGTAGACAGCGAGGAGAAATAGGCACCTCCAGAGGCCATTCATCTGACCTATCTTAGACGCCTATCTTAAGTTGAGATGAATGGCCCTCTGGAGATGACTATTTCTCTTTATTGACTACAAAGGGACCCAGGGGCAACTAGTTCAGACTTAGATGTCCAATCGTGAGACATTTAAAACTGGGCGAGGTGATTTCTACTCCCAGTGGTTATGTAGTTTGTGCACAGATTTATTTGCAAACAAATCTCATCTTTCTCTATTTCAGTAAAAGCTTGTGTTCCAGTAAAATGAGAACGATTCCAGCTGCAAGCCAAGGTTTGGGTGTGATACAGATAACAACTCTCCTCTTTCAGTTAAATCAGGAACTTTCCTACAAATATTTTAAAAATAGACTCAGTTTCCTCCCAGTTTCTGTCAACATCAGGACTCACACTGAAGTAGTCATTTCTCTCCTTAAAGGAACGGGCTGTTCAAACAACAAGGATCTGCACTTAAGATTTAATCTTTTCTAGCTCCAGGAGATAAAAAGAAAGAAAAGTGTAAGTGGCAGCAGATTCTCGGCTGCTGTAAACTGCCAGAACTCCACTAATTTTAATGGAGCTTCACATCAGCCAACAACTTGCCTCTTGCTACACCAGCCAGATACAATGGGATCCAAAGTCTCCAGCGTCTGCTAGACACAGTCCTCCCCTCCTTAAATTGCATCAAACTGGGGAAGCCCTGGGATTTAAATGGAGAAAGATTGCTTTGAGCCTCTTGCACTACAGTTCCCAGGAGCTTCCCCATCACACAAGCCTTCATTCCCCTCTTTATGGGTGTTCCGGACAGGGGGAAAAAGGCAGCGATAAGCTCAGCTGACTCCCCGCAGCACAGCAGACAAGGACTGTGCTGCTCTCCTTGGTTCACCTGGCAGCTGTTTTGCATAGCACTGGCATCAGATCTGGTGCGAGTTTGCCTGGGGAGGTTTCTCTGGGGATGGGAGCAGCAGAACAGTTCCGGATGCTTCCCCCCACCCGCTGCTGTTCCCCCGGCCTGGAACGCGCCGTTTTCTCTGAAAACCAAAGACAAGGGCTCTATCAGAACCAGCACGATTCCCACTGGAAGCCACCGAGCCAGTCCGGCACTTGAGGATAAAAGCGCAGTAATGGGAGGAAAGTAAAATCAGGACTGCAGTGCACCTTCAACTTTGCAAGGCAAACACATGCAGCAACATGCAGATGTCACCTACGGGGAGTGACAGCCGCCCGTGGCTTTTCGCCGGATGACGAAAACAGGGCTGGTACCAGAAGGCTAACCTTATCCCACTTCCCACCCAACTACACACTTAATTCACCTCACAATTTGATCTCAGCTGCACAGAAGGGACAGGGAATTAGAAGGTGATTTCAATCTTTAACAGGTGTTGGGGAATTCCCACAGGGAATCAGTTTTCTGCTGCATGCATTTGGGAGGGAAATTCAGAACAGCTGAACAGCGATGGAGGAACAGTGCCAGGCAGACACCAGGCAGGGGATTCAGCTGCCTGGGCTTAGATGTCTAACTTTTAGGTGTCTAATTCTGAGCCAATTGCTCTAGGCTCCCTTTACAGCCATGGAGAGGAAGCAGGCGCTTCCAGAGGGCAATTCACCTCACCCCCGAGATAGACGGCAGAGAGATGAATCACCTTCTGGAGATACCTATTTTCATCATTGACTGTACAAGGAGCCTGAGGTGAGTAGGTCAGACTTCAGCCTCAAAGTACTGAATATCTAAAATTAAGATTCATCTCACCTATCCTGAAGTTTTTAGCACTCCAGTTGATAAAGCACAATGCCATTAGAGATTGACAAAGCAGACCAGATGCAGAATGCCTTCTAACGTACATTTTCTAGAAGCTGAGAAATGAACTTGTTCACATTAACTAAGACAAGAATCAAATCTCTCACCTCAAACGACATGTGAAGTTAAAAGATTACCCAAGAGTGGGTAAAGAGTGGCAACAATTATTATAACTATAAACAATACTTGACCCACATGCTGTAAATGAAGCAAAATGCTCACCTGCACTGAGAAGAATGTGGTTCTATTAAGCAAAAAAGATATTCAGCATCAAATACTCTCCTCAGGATTTCAATTCACTTTGGAGACTCAAGCAAATACCGAGCCACAGCCCTCACGCTACTGTTCCCAGCAGTCAGACCAGCAACTTCTCCAGAACTAGCAGGAAAAGCCCTGGGTGGTAGGAGCTCACTTAAATCACCTTCTCTCCATTTTAGTGGCTACCCCTCCTTCCCTCCAGCTGTGTCCAGTGGCACTGGGGAGCAGAAACCAGCCAGTTCCCTGGATCCCTTTGTGCCCTGCCAGGATGCTCGCTGTTCCCAAGGCTTGCCTTAAGAAGTGCTTTTTAAAGGGAGCAGGAGAAAATGTGAACAGGATGGGGAGTTTTGGAGGCAGCCAGATAGGGCTGCAGTTTTCATGTTAACTGTTTGCTCTAAAGACATAAACAGACCAAACCGGGGCATCGGAGCACCTTCATGGGAAAGTTCAGGCTGGTTAGCAAGGAAAGT